AGGGCACCCACTTTCAGTCTCTGTGGTCAGAGTGTGTCCTCTACTACCCCGGCTCCCGCAACACCATTCACAACCAACCCAAGGCCAGGAGTTTTCATGACACACACAGAAGCAAGGAAATGACACTACTGCACCTGGCTCTGTAAGCATGCTCCACACGTAAAGGACACCTCTCATGGTCACACAAATCCGTAGCTGATACACACGCCTAAAACCCTAAACACACTCATAGCCTGGACATACACCAAGTATGGGTTACACCCTGATGCTCATTTCTATGGTGGCTGGGACCATGCATGGATCTTGACCCCAACATACACACCAAAACTGTGTCACTACTTGCTATATCCGGCACACACTGAACTATAGATATCCTGGTCAATTGTTATGCACCAGCCGACTCTTCATAGCCCATCTTCTCTGGAACCTGAACTCCATTCTCCTGGCTCATATGCTACGCCCCAGCTTTCACAAACAATTGAAAATCTATGCCATTTATCCAGAACCTGCAATATGCAGCCTACCACCAGGATATGACATTCCTTCTAGCCTGAAAATTTAGATCCCAATTCTGAAATAAAGAACACTCTTCCACCAGCAACAGAAGAACGCTGTCATTTGTGCCTTTAAACTTTCCAAAGTGATCTGGACAGAGTGGAACACACCTGTTATCCCAAAACCTGGGAAGCTGAGGTAGGAGGGTTTCGATGAGTACGGTCCATGGCCAGTCTCAGCCACATGGAGATTATTTCAAAAATAAATACATGGTTTTGGATGTGGTGGCACACGCCTTTATTCCCAGCACTTGGAGACAGAGGTAGGCAGATCTCTGTGAGTTCAAGGCCAGCCTACTCTAAATAACAAGTTCCATGCCAGACAGGGATACATGGTAAGACCCTGTCTTAAAATACATATAGCATGGGGCATGTGGGCCTGCTGGAACACATCCCTAATCTCAACACTCAGAAGGCACAGGAAGGATCAAGGAGTTGAAAAACAGCCTCAGCACAAATAAATAAACAAATAAACTTTCCAAAGCGTGCTGACAGGCATTACCTGAAGAATACACGCAGATGTGAATACACACATGGACATTCACACAGGGGATCAAATACACAGACTTCACCAGAACAAGTGAGCCAGGAGGACTTGAGGTTGGAGACCTGGACTTTCAACTCCACTTCTCCACTTGAAGTAAACCCGTCCTGGGGCCAGGCAGCCATTCCTAGCCATGTTCCCTTCCCCCTCCAGGCTTCCAATGACCGTCCACATAGGGGTGGGGGAGGAGTACATGCTCTGGCGTTTGCCCCCAGCCCAGAGCTCAGAACCTTCTAGTCACACAGGAGCCACAGGGCCCCCCCCCTCACTGTTGAGGGGCCCTTAAGCGCCAAGCTGCAGCAAGACTCTGACCTATCATTCAAAGGGCTCCTCACTCCTCTTCTGTGGCAAGTCTGCTCCTGCTCTGACCCAGCTCCCCCAGTGCACAGGGCAGGAAAGGTCCAACTGAAGGCAGCGAGTCTGTGTCACAAGGCCCTAAAAACGGGTGCGTGGGGGCAGCAATGACAAAGGTGATGAGGGAGAGAAGCCTGCCTGCGAGGTGCTTCTGGAGGTGGGGGCTCAAAGAAAAGCAGCCCAGTCTGAGGTACCAGCACTGCCCCCTGCCCGGGCCCCTGACCCAGGCCTCCAGTGTGCCTGCCCCCATTCCTTTGTCTGTGCCCGGCCTCCCGTTGGCCTGGCGCTCTGCCATCCTCCTCTCCTGGCTCCCAGCCGCCACCACTGCTGCCTCCTCCCCTCCCCCTACTTCTCCCAGCCTTAACCCTTCTGAGCCACATGCTGCCCCAGACAGGCCTTAGCATCCTGCCCAGGGAGATGCTCCTGAGCGAGCCTTGTTCCTGTTTCTGGTCATTTAACCCCAAGATGTTCTCCACCCCAGGAGCACCAGGAGGGATGGAGGGGTGTGTACATGTGTGTCTTGCGGTGTTCCCGCATGTGCATCTGTGTGGCTGCGTGTGCTCGGGCTTCCCTCAGTCACATGTGTGGGGCATGTGCTGTCTCTGTCGGGCTGGGGGAGGAGGAGCCCAGAGACAGCAGAGCACAAAGGAGAGACTCAGGCAGGCAGGGAGGCAGGCAGCCTGCCAGGGCGCCTAGGCCCCAGGGCTCCTGGGGTGGTGGTGGTCTTCAGGCCTGAGCTGCTATCTGCTGCCAGAATGCCCTTGGACGAATGAAACATGTGCTCTCCCCCACACATGCAGGCCTGGCCCCTTCTCTTACCCCAGCCCCTGCCATTCTCCACCCTAAGGACTCTCTTTAAGCCCCTCCCACGGGTTTTCCTCTTGAGGTCTCAGGTCCATCCACTCACTGTGACATCAGTCATCAGACTTCTTCACAATCAAGAAAGAGGCTCTCTCCCCCTTAGCCACCTTTTGCTGCTTCCCTCTTACCCAAGCCAACAGACAAGAAGGTCTGGGGCACTGACTGAAAATGTGCACGCACACACATACACATACATACACACACACACACACACACACACACACACACACACACACACCCTGGGCATGGATCCTCTCCCTGTCCCCATGCTAGTCACAACGACTATGAGGAGGAAATGTCCTCCCACTGACACAGGTACTCTGCCCCAATTCCAGGACCAGTCCCCCAGCCTCCCCGAGGCTGACAACTTCTCCATATACGACCCCTACCTAATATGTGTAGGAACTAAGAGTAACAAATTTAAGTTTCAGTCCTGTGGTGGTAGCATGCACCTTCAGTCCCAGCACTCAGGAGGCAGAGGCTGAGTTCGAGCACTGGAGGTCCTTCCCCCACTCTACAGAGTGAGTTCCAGGACAGCCAGGACTGTTGCACAGAGAAACCCTGCGGGGGAGGGGAACGAACTTTAAGTTTCAGCCCAAAAGCTTGCTTGGAGCTTTACCTTACTTTGGCTCTCAAGCATATTGGAGGGCAAGAACCCAAGGGTGGGCTGAGAGCATGAACTACCTTGTCTAGCATTGGCCAGTTGCAAAGGAGAAAACACACACATAAACATATACATCAAATTGGTGGGACAGCTATGAGGCTAGGCAGGGTTCCAGCTTGGCAAGGTTTTTTTGCCTCCTCCTCTTCTCCACCCTCTCTGCAGAAGGAGCCAGGGGTTCCCACACCCAGATATTCCAGGATCCTCAGGCTCTCCTAGCCCTCCTCCTGGGCCCCATGCCCCTAAAATGTCAGCCTCATCAGGCACTTCAAGTGTGTACCCAACCCAGTCCAACTCGGCTAGGGTCACATGATCTCCAAGGACGCTTCTGCACTGGCAGCTTCCCTTGGGGGAGTGTGTGTTTGTGAGTGTTTGGGGGGTCCCTAGTTATGAAGTATAGGCTTCTCAGAATACAAGACATCTAGAGGAGAAAGGGATGCAGACCAGGCTAGACCCAGGACACGGACCACTGACTTCCTAGAGAAGGTGGACTTTCCAATCTGAGAACAGAGTTGTAAGGAAGGGACAGACTACATTCGGGCCCCTCTTTAGACTACCTCTCCCATCACACGGCTCTACTTTTCCTTCCTAGCACTTGTAGAGCCTATGCCCTGACCCTACGAGGGAAAACTCAGACACGGGTACGGCCTGGCAAGATCTCATCTGTCTGGGGGGCTGTGATTTGAATTTGGGTCCTCAAGTTTCCGCTTGGGGTGCTCAAGCATTGCTCCCCCTAACTCAACTCTGAAACCACTCTTACTTCACAGCCTGTCTGGAACTGATACACTTCCCCTCCCACGAAGGGAGATTGCTGACCCAAGGGCCCAATTATCTGACACCCCCCAGGAGTGCTCTCCGTCCCTCAGGAGAGCCAACCCTCCGTGGCAACAGACAGGAAAAGTTAGAGGGGGCAAGATGGGCCCCAATCAACTCCTCCCCCAAACAGCATCCTCAGAAACAGCCCGTGGGGGGGCAATGTCACAAAATATGTAAGAGGCAATAAGCAGCAGGGAAGGGGGGAACCCAAACCAGCCAATCACAACTCTACGATGGGGGGGGGTCAAAAGTCCAAAGTCACTTCTGATTGGCTAACACCCTGGAATTCTGGGAATTTCAGTCCCCCCATCCCTCCCCAGTTAGCCATCCCCACCTCAAAAAAAAAATCCATCCTCAGCACCCCCCCCCGTGCCTCTGGGCTGCTGCGCATTTATACAGATGAGAAAATCCTCCCCCAACTGACGCCCCCCTAACTCTATACAGCCCACGACCCCACCATGCCTTCGACGCCCCCCACAAACAAATTATCACCAAACCAGGGGTGAGGGAGCCGACAGGGAGGGAGGGGCCAGGCGGCCGCGAGACCCACTCACCAGGACAGGCACAGCCCACTGACATCTTCACATCGCCCGCCGCTGGGGGCCCAGCCGAGTCACGGTGCCCGCCCCTCGCAGGGACAGGCCGGGCATGAGCCGCTGCCGCCGCCCGCGGCCCCCGATGCCCTCGCCGCCGGCCCGGCCCGGCCTCAGCCCGGTGCGGGCGGCCCCTGCCTGCAGCGAGGGGCCTGTCAGGCGCGGAGCAGACAGGAAGGAAGCCAGGCAGGAAGGCGAGCTGCCTCTGCGTGTGTACGCGCGGGTGTGCGTCCCCGGAGTGTGTGTCCGTGTGTGCGCGTGTGCGTGTGCGTGTCTGTGCGCTCCCGCCGCCCTCGCCGTCGCCGCCCTCGCGCTCGCTCCCGCTCGCGCGGCCTCTCCCTCTCGCCGGCGCCGGCTCTCCGGCCCTAGTCGGGCTGGGCCGGGCTTTATTAATATGCTAATTTGCCTGCTAGTGGGAGGGGGAGAGCCGTGTCAAAGTGACCCGGGCGAGCGCGCCGCGAGCGACGACGTGCGTGCGCCGCGCGGCGAGGGGCAGGGAGCGTCCCCGGGAACGGCATGCATGTGACGCAGCTCTTAAAAAACGAGACGGAGGCAGAAACCCCGGCGAGGGCGGGCGGGCTGGCGGGCGGGCGGGCGCTGGGAGCGGGGGGATACGAAGCCTCACGCTCGGCGTCCCTCCTCCGGGTGCGCGGGCTTGGAGCGGGGCTGAGCGGACGCGGGGCTTGGGGGGAGGCGGAGCTTGGGTGGGCAGTGAGGTGTAGCCCTCTCTCCACCCCCGTGAGGGATGGAGCACTGACCCCTGCCTCTGCTCCCCTAGTCTACAGGCCCTGTGTTACGCGCTCCACCCGCAGCTGGGTGCGAAAAGAAGCACTACCCTAATTCTCGGAGCAACCCCTGGACCCATCCCCTCTAAATTAACCAGACCTTGCCTGCTAAACCAGTTGGGACTAGAGCTAAAAGGGTTAATTAAATAGGGCTCCCGCCTAAGGGCCTGAGATCCGCGTTTTGCAAGGGGACTCGGGCTGTGGAATGACCACTAGGTTTGAATGGGGGGGGCAGGCGACTGCGAAGGCCATCCTTTCCTCTTGCAGGCTCTGACGCACCAGTAGAGACACTTCCCATCCCCCACTTTCTTCTTCCAGCCCTAGAACCTTCTACCCACCCACCCCCATCCTCCGCCCCCTGGAAACAGCTCTCTGTTGAGGGTTTTGGAGGTGGCGAACAGGAAGCCGACTTCTCCACTGCCCCCTACCCGTAAGGGCAGAGGCCATGGCGCGGGTGGGGGGTGGGGCATCCTGGACAGTCTGTGTAAGAAACACTCTTCCTTTGGGAGAAGCTTCCCAACCTTCAGGCAGTCCTCAAGGACTCCCCGACCCAACCCTAAGAGGGGAAGAACTCCTCCATCCCTTCCCCAAAGCCCAGCCCTAGCTGCCTCATAAACAGGAAATACCTATTAGCGGGGAGGAGGGGAGCTGCCTGAAGGACAGAGTTCCAAGGGGTCCCCAAGCCCTAGCTTCAGGGTGTGTGACACGGGTGGATGCTGGGGACCTGGGCCAGTGTCCCTTCCCTAAGATATCTGGACTAGATTGGGTAGGGGGTGGTGGCTTCCCTTTGTCGCTAAAAAAGGGGATTGGTTGAGAAAGGTGTTTGATTTCCCTATCCGGACTTAGAGTCTGCGCAGCTGGTTTGACTGACCAGGGGTTACAGATGTGGAGGCTAAAGTGCTGAGACCCCCTTCTCCCAACCTTAGGGTTTTTTGCTAAGGAGCAAGAAGCTATGGAAGGAGGATGTGGGGATTGGAAGGAGCCTAGGAATGGAACACTCTCCCCCCAGCGTTTAGAGTAGGGGGAGCCCCTCACACTAGACTACACTGCTTGCAGGCTTTCCCGCCCCCACCAAGGGCATAGAGGGACTTGACTGAAACCATCCCCACACCCCCTGCTAGAGCCCACCTCCTTCGCACTTTCTTTCAGAGGTCAGCGCTAGAGGGAGTAGAGAGGACCGAACCGAAGGCAACAAATGGCCCAGAGTGCTGGAGGCTTGCATCTGAAACCCAGCCACAACCCCTCACGAGCTGAATGACCGGGACAGTCGGCAGCCCCACCCTAAATTCCTTCTGTAATTGGCACCTCAGCTGGATGAGATGTAAACCAGACAATGTGTACCCAGATGCTAGAGAGCCCCTCCCCTTGTAGCGGTGCAGGTTAGACGGTAGTCCTTTTTTTTTTTTTTTTTTTTTTTAGATTATTTCAAGGATGACCGGAGAGTGCTGAATGTGAGGATGTGACTCCGTACAGAAGGAAGGGAATGTTTCTCAGCCTTAACTCCCTGTCTCCACCATCCATGACTGTGACCACTTGGCCCTAAGGTCGTTCATTCCATACAACTAGCTAGACCAGATTCCATGGTGATCCTGATCACCTGGTGGACGACGGGGATTTCAGCCTACCTTGCAGAGGTCTCCCTGCCCTTGGGATCAAAGGTTCTTTTAGGGTGGAATGCACGAAAGGAGACAAAAAGAAGCTGCTGTGCGGGCAAGTGCCAGGCTCTGTCATTTCATACCTGCGGTCTCCTTTAGAAGGACATTCTATGTTTGGTGTGGGGGTGGATGTATGCGTGTGTGCAGCTGTGTGTGCCTGTGCACATGTGTGTGCACATGGAGGCCAGAACTCAACCTCTGGTGTAGTTCCTCAAGAACCATCTTACTTGTTTGTTTGTTTATTGTTGATTTTTCTACATAGGGTTTCTTTGCGGACTAACCTAACTTGTCCTGGCACTCACTCTGTAGATCAGGCTGACTTCGAACTCACAGAGATCCACCTGCCTCTGCCTCTCCAGTGCTGGGATTAATGGCATGTAGCACCACTGCCCAGCAAGCCGTTTTATTTTTGAGACAGGGTCTCTCTCTCAGCTCTGGGGCTCCTAGATTAGGCGAGGCTGGCTGGCTACTGTGGAGCCCCAGGAATGTGCTCATCTCTACCTCCCCATTGCTGGGATTACAAGGGTTTACCACCTTATCTGCACTTTTGATGTAGGTGCTGGGAATCAAACCAAAGTCCTCAAGCTTGCACAGCAAACACCTTTCCAATTTCGCTTCTCCCCTGTCTAGCTAGAATGACTGATGTTTCTGCATCTGTCTCTCAAGTGATGGGGCACCACATCTGGATTCCATGAGTAACTTCAGAAGGTGCTATTTATTGCCTGCTTGAGTGAGCAAGCAAATGGAGGTTCAGGGTTGGGCCACAGTTCAGTGGCAGAGGATACACATCATGTATCTTCAGCTCTGGGGTTCAGAGAGCTTATTACATTTTATTTAGAGGGGAGGAAGAGATTTTAGGAGAGGGAAAGGGGCCCGGTGATAGTGGTGCAAGCCTGTAATCTCAGCACTTAGGAAGCAGAAGCAAGTGGAGGTTGGAGACTAGCCTGGTCTACAGAGCAAGTTCCTGGACAGCCAGAGCTACGAAGAGAAAACCACCCCATTCCTGTCTCAAAACAAACAAACAAACAAACAAACAAAAAAACCAAAAAGCAAAAAAAACACAAAAAAACAAAAAAGAGCCGGACAGTGGACAGTGGTCGTGCATGCCTTGAATCCCAGCATTCACTAGGGTGAGTTTGAGGCCAACCTGGTCTACAAAGCAAGTTCAGGACAACCAGGGCTGTTACACAGAGAAACTCTGTCTCCAAAATGCGAGAGAGAGAGAGAGAGAGAGAGAGAGAGAGAGAGAGAGAGAGAGAGAGAGAGAGAGAGAGAGAGAGAGAGAGAGAAAGGGAGTAAATAAAATTAAAGTATAAGGTTGGAGACACGGTTCAGTGGGTTGCTCTTTTGTTTGTTCATTTGTTTGTTTTTGAAGACAGTTTCTCTGTGTAGTTCTGGCTGAACTAGAACTTGCTCTATAGACCAAGCTGGCCTTGAACTAAGAAATCTGAGATCTGTCTGCCTCTGTGCTAGGATAAAAGGCACAGGCATCACCACCTGGCTGACACAGGCTGCTCTTGCAGATCAGGATTCAATCACCAGCCCCAGCTCACAAAGATATGAAAATCCAATCCCAGGAGATCTGGCTTCCAAAGGCACTGATGCATACACTACACATGGTACACAGACACACAGACATACATGCAGGCCAAACCCTATATTCATAAAGTAACTTTTAAAAAAGAACGAAGTTTTCGAAAAAACAAACAAACAAAAGAATGAAGTTTAAAGCATGTATGAAAATGCCATTGTGAGTAAGGGGATTGAACCCAGGGTCTCGTGCATGCCAGACAGGTACCAACCCCGAAAAACGTTGCAATGAGGCCTATTCCTTCCTACGTTCACTCAGAAGTAATTTTGTATGGCTGGTAAAATGGCTCAGCAGGTGAAGTGCTTGCCCACCAGCCTGAACACTTGAGTTCCATACCTGGGATCTGCAATGGGAGAATAGAGGACCCAGAAGTTGTCCTTTAACTGCTTTACAGACAACATGGCACTTTCACTACCACACGCACACATACACACATTACACATGAACCACACTATCATACAATTTTTAAAGTATTTCCACTAAAAACACCAATATTTTCTTCTTTTGTGTGGGATTCAGGATTGAACCCAAGGCCATGTACATGCAAAACAAGTACTGCTTTAGCCAGGTTTAGACTTGCAATCCTAACAGGATTGTAAGTGCTGGGTCTATCTTGGGCTACACAGTGAAACCCTATCTCACAAAACAAAATACAAAATGAATGTTCTACAGCTGACCCACAACCCTTAGCCTGGGAGGTTAATACATTTGAACTTTCTTTTAAAACACTTCTCCCTCTTCTCTGCCTACTAGCTGGCAGAGGCTTCCTGCATACGCCTCAGTTCTAGCTCCACCTGCTCCGGGATTAGCTTTCCTATTCTCATTTCCTCTCCCGCCCTTGGTAATTTAGTGGTCCAGTTTTGTTTTTGTTTGTGTGTGTGTGTGTGTGTGTGTGTGTGTGTGTGTTTGGTTTTGTTTTTTCGAGACAAGGTTTCTCTGTATTGTTTTGGAGGTTGTCTTGGAACTCGATCTGTAGACCAGGCTGGCCTTGAACTCACAGAGATCCGCCTGCCTCTGCCTCCCGAGTGCTGGGATTAAAGGCGTGCGCCACCAACGCCCAGTTTTGTTTTGTTTTTAAAGAAAATATCTCAGTAGTATTGAGTGGGTGACTAAGATCAGATTTTGACGGCTAGAGGAGCCATGCCTTGGGAATTTAGGTAATTTTAAATTTGCCCAAGGTCACAGAGCTAACAAGCGCTTGACTAGGTTATCTTTGCCTTCTTAGTAGGGATCAGCTTCTACAAACATCCCTGGAGTAGCCCTGAGAGGGAATCGTGTGTTTCTTGGTTGTCACTCTTGCTTGCCATTGAAAACTGTGATGCGGTCTATGGGCTATCCGCTTACTATATGCTGAATATGCTTGCTCACAAAGCTAAGCAGCATCAGGCCTGGGATAGGAAAATCACTATGGAGGCTGTAGATTTGTTCAGTGGTAAGTAGAGTACCTGCTTAGCATGCAGTAGATCTCACCAGTTTCTACTCTCAGGGGTGGTGGCTGGAGAAGTGGCTTAGGGGTCAAGAACACTAGTCCTTTTCCAGAAGACAGGGGTTCGATTCCTAGCATCCATATTGGGCAATCCATAGCTACAGGGAACTCCAACTCCAAGGTGTCCAACTCCCTCTTCTGGCCTCTGAAGGCACCAGGCACTCATGTGGTGCATAAACATGCAGGCAATACTGGTTGTGGAGCCAGTGGTGGTGGCGGTGGCGGCGGTGCACGCCTTTAATCCCAGAACTCAGGAGGCAGAGGCAGATGGATATCTGAGTTCAAGGGCAGCCTGGTCTACAGAGTGAGTTCTAGGACAGCCAGAGCTACACACAAAGAAATCCTGTCTTTGACAAACCAAAGGGTGGAAAAAAAAAAAGGCACTGTCTCAAAGAACCCTGTTCCCCAATTAAAAAGATCAGCATGTGTTGCTATTCTTTTTTTCTATTGTTGGGACGGGTTTCACATGGCTTGGTTTGTCTCAGACTCGCTATATGGTGGAGACTGGTCTTGAACTCTTGATTTTTTTTTTTTTTTTTTGTTTTTCAAGACAGGGTTTCTCTGTGTGTAGCTCTGGCTGGGATTAAAGTAGGCATGCACCACCACTGCCCAGGGGCTTGTTATACTTTTTGGTATCTGTATATGTGTGCTTTCGTGTGCATGGAGGCTAGAGGTAGATACTGAGGTACAGAGAAATCCTGTCTCAGAAAACCAAAAAAGAAAAAAAAACATTTAAAAAAAATTTTTTGAGACAGGGTTTCCCTGTGCTACAGCCCTAGCAGTCCTGGAAATCTACCTGCCTCTGCCTCCCAAGAACTGAGACTAAAGGCCTTTACCACCACACCGAACTTCAAATAATCTTAAAAAAGCATTTTCACATATATTTATTAATTTTGTGTTTATGTGTATGTAAGGGTGGGTGCACATGTCAGGTGGTGCACGCCTGACTTTAATCTTTAATCCCAGCACTCGGGAGGCAGGGGCAGGCAGATCTCTGTGAGTATATGGATTCTGGGGATAAAACTCGGACTTGTTGTCAAAGTACCTTTATCCAGCCAACTCTGGTCTAAGGAGGGCATCAGATCCTCAGGGTCTGGAGTTCGGTGTTTGGGAGCTACCCGAGAGGGGTGCCAGATCCTCTGGTAGAATGGCAAGCTTAATCTCTTCTCTCCAGCCCCCTCAAATGATCTAAAGTTTTGTGATAATATTGTTGTTAAAACAAACACACAGGAAAGTATGGCGAACGCACAGTTGAGGTAGGGATGAGGGCCGGGCAGTGGTGGCACACACTTTTAATTCCAGCACTCTGGAGGCAGAGGTGACCGCTCTTCTACAGAGCTAGTTCCAGGACAACCAAGGCTGTTTACACAGTGAAACCCTGTGGGGAAGGTGATGAAGTGTAAAAACACAAAAAAGTATCGTGGCTGGCTGAGATAATTAGAAGAGCTTTCCTGTATGTACTAAATGACGTTTCATGCAGACATAAAAGCAAGAAGAATACTTGTCTTTGGAGGATGGCAAGCATTTATTTCTGCAACAGTAGGAAAGAAGCTTTGTAGACAGAGACCAATATAGGTTTCCGAGTAACTGTAGAGAAAGAGTGGAAAATGCGGTATTTTAAGAGAAAACAATTTCCTCTAGTGCCGCAGTATTAGTTGAGGGTTAGTGTCTTGACCGCGAGTGTCCACTTGGGGATGCTATTTCAAAACAGCGGCGGACTTGAACTAAGGTGGAAGGAAAGTACAGCAGGTAGAACGTCAAACAAAGAAAGCGGTCTCAACATTTGGACAAATTAACAAAAATAAAGTGATACGCAAATACTAACTGTCTTCCTTACTATTGCATACTCAGCAACCTGGTCTCCGATAGTGCCACAAAAACTGAGCCCTACAATACTCCAGGGCTCCTACCACCTAGTCTTCCTTTAGAGACTACTATTCCCAGGAACCCTCGAGGGAGGTCAGGGTCCTCGTTCTCTTCCAGGGTGCAAGAGTGGCTCGCCGCAAGGCCTTCTGGGATTCGTAGTCTTGCAGTGTCCGTCGGGAGATGTAGTTCTCTTCCCACAATCGGCTGGGCGAGGCGGCGCCGGCGATCAGAGCAGCGCTGGGTGTTCAGGGGCCAAGATGGCGGCGCGCCGGGGACGGAGAGACCGAGT